AGGAGATTCTCTGCAAACCCTAGAGATGGTTGTGCGGGAAAATCCCAGTAGATCAGTTTTTGAAATACTCAGATCAGCCCGTCTGGCACCAAAAACCATGCCACGTTCAAAGTCACTTAAATCTTCTTTCTTCCCCATTCTGATGCTCGGTTTGAACTTCAGTAAGCCGACTTCACCACGTCTAGATACCTAAATGCACCGATTTGCTGCCATGTGACTGGCTGATTAGCAATCTGTGTTACCAAGCCATTGAACGGGTGGACCTAACAAAGTGGCCGGTGAGTATAAATACCCATCATAAATAAATAATAGTCCATCCTCTTCCAGGTTCTATGTGTTGGTGTGGATGCTCAGAGATCATCTTCTGCACAACGCTGCTTTAAAAGAGCTGTTATTGCAGCAGCTACGGACTTACCGTCAGCTATTCTCCGATGACCTTGTCTCGATGGATTTGCTCCTAAGTCTGACAATCTTTGGATGGTCATTCTTTGAAATGATATGAAAATTGCAGCTGGTTAGAAGTCTGTGAGATGCTGCAACCACCATGTCTTCCCTTAACCACGGATCAGGCATCTTCTCCAATCGAAGGCCTCTTGCACACTGTAGCTTGAAAAAGCTCAGCACAGCAATTTTTTTCTACTGATCTAAAATGCAGCCCATTGTTTAAAATGTGCATGTACACACAGGCGCAGAAACAAGTGCTGTGATTTTTTTTTTCTACTCAAGAATAAAGAAAAATCTGCGTTCCTGGTCAGTATTTTGCGCACAAATAAACGCACATGAGCATAACTACTAATGGATTTTGCATAGGAGTATATTGTGTGCGTGAATGTACATACGCACAAATTTTATTATTATTATGCAGTATTTATAAAGCGCCAATAGTTTCGCTCAGCGCTGTACATTACAAAGGGGGACAGAACATGTGACAGAACAATACCAATACAATGCAAAACATGAGGGGATCGAGGGCCCTGCTCTTTGGAGCTTACAATCTAGGAGGGAGGGGATGGTGGTACAGGAGGAGATAGCTGTGGGGGATGGGGTGGTAGGAAGAGTGGAGGAGGTCGGCAAGTTAGCAGGGGGTGGGGTAGGCTTCCCTGAAGAGATGGGTTTTCAGGGTGTGCCTAAAGGAGAGGAGAGTAGGTGATAATCTGATGGGTTGGGGCAGAGAGTTACAGAGGATGGGTGACACCCTGGAGAAGTCCTGGAGGCGGGCATGGGAGGAGGAGACCAGGGAACTAGAGAGAAGGAGGTCTTGTGAGGAGCGGAGTGTGCGTGTTGGGTGGTACTTGGATATTAGGTCAGTGATGTAGTTCGGGGCAGTATGGTGGACAGCTTTGTATGTCAGTGTTAGGATTTTGAATTCGATCCGTTGGGCAATCGGAAGCCAGTGGAGGGATTGGCACTGAGGGTGGTGGAGGACACACTGAATGGAGGCCAGTGGAGGGATTGGCAGAGAGGGGTGGAGGACACTGAGTGGAGGCCAGTGGAGGGATTGGCAGAGAGGGGTGGAGGACACTGAATGGAGGCCAGTGGAGGGATTGGCAGGGAGAGAGGGGGTGGTGGACACTGAGTGGAGGTCAGTGGAGGGATTGGCAGAGAGGGGTGGAGGACACTGAGTGGAGGCCAGTGGAGGGATTGGGAGGGGGGGGTGGAGGCAGAGGGGGGTGGAGACGGAGATGGAGTGGTTGGAAAGGTGAGATGAGTCTGGCAGCCGTATTCAGGATGGATGACTGAAGCGGGGATAGCCAGCGGCGTGGCAGGCCAGTGAGGAGGGAGTTGCAGTAGTCGAGTCGTGATATGATGAGGGAGTGGATGAGTTGCTTAGTGGTTTCTGGTTTTATGTGTGACTATGCGCAAAACACATGAGTGAAATTGCGTCCATAAATGCTGATGCTCACCCGTACCGTGTGCAAGAGGCCCAATAAATCGTGAAGATACCCGAGCATTTCGACTAGGTCTACATGCCTTATGTTTGGAGCAGCATAGGTTGACCACAGATGGGCAGAATTTCGAACGAAAATTCTTGGAGAAAGAAAGTCCTAAGAAAATCTTTTTTTCTTTTTTCTAATCATTAGTGGGTTTTTTTTTTTATCAACCGCATTGACAAGAAAATTCGAAGGAGCAGGATGCAAAATTTTTCTCGGATGAACGATTTTCTAACAGTGTATATGGTTTTTGTTTGGTAAAGTCCATCCATTCCAAAATCAACGGTTAAAGCCCGGCTCCGAGCAAAAAATGTTTTTCTTCCATGAGTGGGGCTGTGCCTATACTGTACGGGTTAACGGCTTGTTTTTTACTAGGGGAGAGGAGAGCAGAGATATACAGTACTTCCCAGATCCTTCGATCGCAACAGCGGTCCGGCACATCTGCGCTCCAGCCGTCTTGAATAATGGATTGTCCCTGACGTCATCATGCCCAGAGCAGGCTCCAAAAACTAGGAACAGGCCACTGCTGGACCGTGGGGGAGGGGGGGTGCTGTTTTTTGGAGGATCAAAGGATCAGCTGAGTATATGCTTTCTGCTCACCCCTAGGCAAAACGAGCAGCTAACCTGTGCAGGCACAGCCTCACTACATCACCACATGGCACAAAAAAAAAAAAACGGTTTTGCTCAGTTGGGCTTTGGAAGCAAACATAATATTTTGATGTTCTAAGAATTTTCCCAAAGACTTTTCTAGGAATTTTAATTTTAATTTGAAATTCTATCCATATATGGCCAGCTGTAGGCTACTGAACCAATTTCAGTCCCGGCACTTTCACCCCCCTTCCAGTCCGAGCACTTTCCCCCCCTTCCAGTCCGAGCACTTTCCCCCCCTTCCAGTCCTGAGCACTTTCACCCCCCCCCCCTTCCAGTCCGAGCACTTTCACCCCCCTTCCAACCGGCACTTTCACCCCCCTTCCAATCTGGGCACTTTCACCCCCCTTCCAACCGGGCACTTTCATTCCCCTTCGGGCACTTTCACCCCCCTTCCAGTCCGGGCACTTTCACCCCCCTTCCAGTCCGGGCACTTTCACCCCCCTTCCAATCCGGGCACTTTCACCCCCCTTCCAGTCCGGGCACTTTCACCCCCCTTCCAGTCCGGGCACTTTCACCCCCCTTCCAATCCGGGCACTTTCACCCCCCTTCCAATCCGGGCACTTTCACCCCCTTCCAATCCGGGCACTTTCATTCCCCTTCGGGCACTTCACCCCCCTTCCACTCCGGGTGCTTTCAGCCCCCTTCCACTCCGGACACTTTCCCCCCCTTCCAGTCCGGTCCGACACTTTCACCCCCCCCCTTCCAGTCTGGACACTTTCACCCCCCCCCCCTTCCAGTCTGGACACTTTCTCCCCCCCCCCCCCTTCCAGTCTGTACACTCCCCCCCCCCCCCTTTCCAGTCTGGACACTTTCTCCCCCCCCCCCTCCAGTCTGTACACTCCCCCCCCCCCCCCCCCTTCCAGTCAGGACACTTTCACCCCCTTCCTGCCCAGGCCAATTTTCAGCTTTCAGCACTCTCACATTTTGACAATTGACAATGACAATTGCGCGGTCATGCAACACTGTACCCATATGAATTTCTTTAGCATTTTTTTTGAGACAGATAAAGCTTTATTTTGGTGGTATTTATTCACCACTGGGATTTTTATTTTTTTGCTATATAAATGAAAAAGTCAAAAAATTTTGAAAAAGAAAAAAAAAAAGTGTTTTTCTTATACAATTTTGCAAATAAATCTTTCTTCATAAATCTTGGCCAAAATGTCTATCTTTTTAGTAAAGTAAAAAAAAACAAATTAGTTTATAAACAATTATAATTTTTCAAAAAATATTTTACATTTTTAGTTTAATTTTTTTATACTATTAATTTTTTTTAACATACTGTCACCCTAATAGTACAGTGTCACCATAGTGACACTACCACTTGTGGGGGGTGATGAAGATTTTTTTTTTCATTTTTTACACTGATTGCTCTTACACCCATAAAGGCTGTAAAAGCAATCACTTCTCCTTCTCTCTGGCTGCATTCCTGCAGCCATTGAGAAATACTGTGAGAGCTGTGATTGGTTCACAGCTTGTCACATTGTACAAGGCTGTTGTGAATGGCCCTGTACCATGTGATCTCTGTGATCATTCACGGATTTCGCTAGTAGTAAGCAATGATGTCAGGAAGTGATATCTTGCTTACTACTATTCATGTGATTGGTCAATCAGTGATCACATGATCGGCTCCTCACATAGAGGTCCCGTACAGCGATTTGTGTTCTGCTGTGTCCGGAGGACACAGCGGCACCGGTCGCGATGCCACGCACTCCCAGGGAGCGCGCACAGGCAATGGATGCGGGGGGGATGTTTAGAAACGTCCACCCACTTCGGCAGCGCTCCCGTCTGGCCGTTTATCTCCATGGGCCGGACGGGAAGAGGTTAAGTTATCAATTGTTATACCCAAGAAGATGCGTGTATTTTTTTTTAGGCTTTTGTGGAGGAATGCAGACAGGAAAGTGGTTAAGGTTCTAAAAAGGTATTAATATCTGCTCATCTCTATTCATCTTCAGCGAGCGGATAATCTGTGGAGTACACAATGGCGCGCCATTCAGAGAAGAGAATCATAATATGACAATTTAAAACTCGGAGTGATTAGTATGACCGGCGGACGACGGCTGAGAAACTCATCGTGTTCCCTCTAATGAAAGTCAATATTTTTATTCTGTGTCACTCAAACAGCTCAAATAGTCTTCATTAAAATCTCTAACAGGCGTGCCAAGCAGACGGCTGCACCGTCCTCACCGGGGAAGATTACCAAATGGCACAGGTGCACCCCCACTCCATATTGTGCAGATAATTACCGCGTGAGAGCAGCGGAGGAGACAAAACACAGCGCCTCGCCACTGAGGATGAAAAGACCAGAAATCCAGAGTTACATCAGATAGATCAGGGTGAAGACTCAAAATATAACTCTTCTGTTGTAGCTAAGAGCAGAGCAGTGTAGATCTTTAACTGTGACCTACAGCAGACCTCGGATTGAAAATGCATGGTCCGGTTATTGTATAGACCAGTGTTTCTCAACCTTTTTTCAGTCAAGGCACCCTTTAAAATGGTGGACAGTCCCGAGGCACCCTTTCAAATTCTGGACAGTCCCGAGGCACCCTTTAAAATGATGGACAGTCCCGAGGCACCCTTTAAAATGATAGACAGTCCCGAGGCACCCTTTAAAAATCTGGACAATCCCGAGGCACCCTTTAAAATGATGGACAGTCCCGAGGCACCCTTTAAAATGATGGACAGTCCCGAGGCACCCTTTCAAATTCTGGACAGTCCCGAGGCACCCTTTAAAATGATAGACAGTCCCGAGGAACCCTTTAAAAATCTGGACAATCCCGAGGCATCCTTTAAAATTCTGGACAGTCCACCCTTTAAAATGAGGACAGGCACCCTTTAAAATGATGGACAGTCCCGAGGGCACCCTTTAAAATATGGACAGTCCCGAGGCAACCCTTTAAAATGATGGACAGTCCCGGCACCCTTTAAAATGGACAGTCCTGAGGAACCCTTTAAAATGATGGACAGTCCCGAGGCACCCTTTAAAATGATGGACAGTCCCGAGGCACCCTTTAAAATTCTGGACAGTCCCGAGGCACCCTTTAAAATGATAGACAGTCCCGAGGCACCCTTTAAAAATCTGGACAATCCCGAGGCACCCTTTAAAATGATGGACAGTCCCGAGGCACCCTTTCAAATTATGGACAGTCCCGAGGAACCCTTTAAAATAGACAGTCCCGAGGAACCCTTTAAAATAGACAGTCCCGAGGAACCCTTTAAAAATCTGGACAATCCCGAGGCATCCTTTAAAATTCTGGACAGTCCCGAGGCACCCTTTAAAATGATGGACAGTCCCGAGGCACCCTTTAAAATGATGGACAGTCCCGAGGCACCCTTTAAAATGGACAGTCCTGAGGCACCCTTTCAAATTATGGACAGTCCGAGGAACCCTTTAAAATAGACAGTCCCGAGGCACCCTTTAAAAATCTGGACAATCCCGAGGCACCCTTTAAAATTCTGGACAGTCCCGAGGCACCCTTTAAAATAATGGACAGTCCCGAGGCACCCTTTAAAATAATGGACAGTCCCGAGGCACCCTTTAAAATTATGGACAAAATCAGTCTTGAGGCACCTTTTAAAATGATGGACAGTCTTGAGGCACCCCAGTCTAAAATGTGAAAAACTATTCTAATAGTTTTATATAACACAGCAACATCCACACACGTAAGACACCCAACATTAGAGGGGATTTATTCTTCCAAAGCAAATACACCATTGCACACTGGTACTGACTAGTATCCCAATGTTTCTCCTCTCTCAGTTTTTCTCCATCACTGAGCTAATGTGACCCCAGCACTGATGGAGAGGGGCGGGGGAGGGTCAAACTAGGATGCTGTGCAGGCAGCCGACATCTTCCTTATCAACTGATGTCATTGGTTGTCAGGACGCCGGCGGCTAGAAGGTCGTAATAGTGCACAATGACAACTTGTGGCTTTGTGCAACTAAAAGGCCGGCTTGTTCTACTCGCTGGCTTGTATACAAGTTTTGGGCAATTTCTAGTTTTTTTTCCAAGGCACCCCTGAAGAAACCTCAAGGCACCCTGGTTGAGAAAGGCTGGTTTAGGCACGCTCACTCTCCTCCTCCCCTCCCCCATGTAAAAATGCTGCATTGTGCAAAATAAATAAAATAAAATAGATAAAACATATACCCACCCCCCACCTTAGACAGTGGCACCTAGGCAAGTGATAACATGGCAATGCCGAAATTTTGTGAGAAGAATCACCATCACAGGGCACAGCTTTTATGGGACCTATAGGGAAGGCCTGAGATGTCACCTTAGCCTAAGGATGGGGTGTAAGAAATGAACTGTACTGTGCAAAAGTTATAGGCAGGTGTGAAGACATTCTGTAAAGTGAAAACCTTAAAAAAGAAAAAAAAAAAATGTTAAAATTAAGTGAGCAAACAGAAGAAAAATCTAAATCAAATCAATATTTGTACAAAAACAAAAGTTGTGGCGCCTACTTAAAGCGGAGTTCCACCCAAAAGGGGAAGTTCCGCTTTAAAGATTGGTCCCCGCTCCCCATTAAGGATGGGCACCTTTGGGGAGTGGGGGAACAGGTTTCCGAATTTGACAGGTACCCGCTCCCACGTCTGCTGCGATCCCCTAGGCCAGGGGTGGCGAACAAGTTAGACACAAAGAGCCAAAATTTTAAACTGTGAAAGTCAGAGAGCCACACCACGCAGTGACCTTCCAAAACAGACAAACACTCACACAAAAACACATAATTAAAACCATATTATTCACCATAACACTTTCTTCCCCTTACAAAACAACAATGTGTTCATTTCAAGGTAAGTGTCCACCCTCAACACACATCAAATGCAACTTAGCCAGAGTTGTCAACTACCCTGGAGGTTGCTGTGGCACCTGTCTCTCTCTCTCACTCTAACACACAAGTATACAAAAAAAAAAATTCTGAACTAATGGACTGCAGACATAGTACAGGAGATGACCAGAGACTGCAGACATAGTACAGGAGATGACCAGAGACTGCAGACATAGTACAGGAGATGACCAGAGACTGCAGACATAGTACAGGAGATGACCAGAGACTGCGGACATAGTACAGGAGATGACCAGAGACTGCGGACATAGTACAGGAGATGACCGGAGACTGCGGACATAGTACAGGAGATGACCAGAGACTGCAGACATAGTACAGGAGATGACCAGAGACTGCAGACATAGTACAGGAGATGACCAGAGACTGCAGACATAGTACAGGAGATGACCAGAGACTGCAGACATAGTACAGGAGATGACCAGAGACTGCGGACACAGTACAGGAGATGACCAGAGACTGCGGACACAGTACAGGGGATGACCAGAGACTGCGGACACAGTACAGGGGATGACCAGAGACTGCGGACACAGTACAGGAGATGACCAGAGACTGCAGACACAGTACAGGAGATGACCAGAGACTGCAGACACAGTACAGGAGATGACCAGAGACTGCAGACATAGTACAGGAGATGACCAGAGACTGCGGACATAGTACAGGAGATGACCAGAGACTGCAGACACAGTACAGGAGATGACCAGAGACTGCAGACATAGTACAGGAGATGACCAGAGACTGCGGACATAGTACAGGGATGACCAGAGACTGCGGACACAGTACAGGAGATGAACAGAGACTGCGGACACAGTACAGGAGATGAACAGAGACTGTGGACAGAGTACAGGGATGACCAGAGACTGCGGACAGCACAGGGATGACCAGAGACTGCGGACAGCACAGGGATGACCAGAGACTGCGGACAGCACAGGGATGACCAGAGACTGCGAACAGCACAGGGATGACCAGAGACTGCGGACAGCACAGGGATGACCAGAGACTGCGGACACAGTACAGGAGATGACCAGAGACTGCAGACACAGTGCAGGAGATGACCAGAGACTGCGGACACAGTACAGATGACTGCTGACCTTTGGGGAGGTGGGGAAGTGGGGAGCGCGTACCTGAATTTGACAGGTACCCGCTCTTACTTCCGCAGAGTTTTTGTTTGATCTTACCTGTCCCTCGATCCAGCCGCGCGCTGTCTTCCCGGGTTCTGTAGTGTCGGCGCTCGGCATGACAGCCGGGTGCCCAGTGCGCATGAGCGAGAAGCACTTGTGCTTTGTGATTGGTCCGGCGGCTTCTGGGATCTGTCATGTGTCTCAGGTACCGCCTTACCATTCACAAAAAGCACCGCTTCTTGCGCATGCGCACTTGGCCACCCGGCTGTCATGCCCAGCGCCCACACTACAGAACCCGGGAAGACAGCGCGCCGCTGGATAGAGGAACAGGTAAAAATAAGAGAAACATGAAACTTGGCAAAGAGCCACAGTATACAAAATATGATAAGAGGCAAAGAGCCGCATTCATTTTGGCCGGGAGCCGCACGCAGCTCGAGAGCCGCGTGTTCGCCACCCCTGCCCTAGGCGATCGGAAGCGGAAGTTGTCCTCCTACCTTCCCTCTCCGAAGTCTTGTGGGACACGTGACAGGTCTCAGAAGACAACGGGGCGATTCAGGAAGCGCATCACTGCTCGCGCATGCGCAGTAGGCACCCAGCTGCGAAGCCGCAAGCTGTCACAGCCGGGTGCCCACACTGAAGATACCAAAGCCTGGAATACAGGACGGCCGGTAAAATGGGCTGCGTTGGGAGCAACGCGGGATCGAGGGACAGGTAAGTGGCTGTTTTATAAAAGTCAGCAGCCACAGTTTTTGTAGCTGCTGACTTTTATTTTTTTACAGGGTGAGTGGAACTCCGCATTACTGTACAATATATGTGATATATCTATTGTGAACCAATTTTGACAAATCCTATTCCAACGAAGGTGACAACACCAAAAGTAGTAGAAGAAGAGCAGCTGCCCCCACTAGGTGTAAACCACTAATGCAAGAACACAATAATGAATACGAGGGCTTGCTCAAAGCAATGAAAAGACAAAAATTTGTGTAAATTAACAAAACAAATCCAACAAACCACAACAAACCCCCCCAAAAAAACATTAGTTATTGTGCAAAAATGTGCATATCCCAACATCGCAGGTTAGACTGAAAGTCCAACAAACCCAAATACTCCTGCACTTGGGGATGGACTCAACATCGGCTATAACCACATCTCGGATGTCCTGCAATGTGCACGCCTCGCTGCTCAGAAAAGGACCGGGGAAGTCCAAATGCTCTGGATATGAAGAAAGCAAACAAAAGGCGCACCGGCCTAGTGCATTACCTGAAAAAACATTTACTGAAAAAAATAGATAGGTATTGTACTCACGAATGACAATAATGTCAAAGGCACATCATGAAAGAACAGCTCTGTCCAATCCACACGACGTGACTGTCCGCAATGGGAACCCTGAACTTCCAACAGGCCAACGAGGACTTCCTCAGAGCCAACACTGAAAGTCCATTAGAAGTAAGCCAGTGAATGCCAATCTCCCAGGGATTCCTCTTCACAACTAGTGCTTAGATGTGAATTGCACACTCACCAGAAAATTTTGACCCCTTGTTTAGGATGGCCAAACAGTGCCGTCTCCCCCAGATATGATAGTCTCCAGGTTTTCCTTCATTCCAATACGTGTTTCAAATGAGCAGGAAATTGAGACCCCCTTGTGACAATTGTGCGCATGGAGACATGGCCACTGACAGCCATTTTGTCTCTCCAGATCCTCCTCCTCCCTTTTGAATTGAATGTGAGTCTGTAAGCCCGGACGCCACCCCCCATTGACTTCTCCATCACATCCAACAATGCCACCATCAAACCCGCCCCGCAGGCCAGAGTACTTGGTGTCATTCTGGACTCCAACCTATCCTTCCAGCCCCAAGTCCAATCTTTAACAAACTCGTGCAGACTCCACCTCCGCAACATGCAGACTCCACCTCCGCAACATGCAGACTCCACCTCCGCAACATCGCCAAAATCCGCACGTTACTAACCCCAGAAACCACTAAGCAGCTCGTCCACTCCCTCATCATATCACGACTCGACTACTGCAACTCCCTCCTCACTGGCCTGCCTCGCCGCTGGCTATCCCCGCTTCAGTCCATCCTGAATACGGCTGCCAGACTCATTCACCTTTCCAACCACTCCGTCTCCGCCACCCCCCCTCTGCCAATCCCTCCACTGGCCTCCACTCAGTGTCCTCCACCCCCCTCTGCCAATCCCTCCACTGGCCTCCACTCAGTGTCCTCCACCCCCCTCTGCCAATCCCTCCACTGGCTTCCGATTGCCCAACGGATCAAATTCAAAATCCTAACACTGACGTACAAAGCCGTCCACCATACTGCCCCGAACTACATCGCTGACCTAATATCCAAGTACCGCCCAACACGCACACTCCCGCTCCTCACAAGACCTCCTTCTCTCTAGTTCCCTGGTCTCCTCCTCCCATGCCCGCCTCCAGGACTTCTCCAGGGTGTCACCTATCCTCTGGAACTCCCTGCCCCAACCCATCAGATTATCACCTACTCCTCCTCCCTGAAAACCCACCTCTTCAGGGAAAAGCCTACCCCACCCCCTGCTAACTTGCCAACCTCCTCCACCCCTCCTACCACCCCATCCCCACACAGCCATCTTCTCCTGTGCCACCATCCTCTCCCTCCTAGATTGTAAGTTCGAAAGAGCAGGGCCCTCGATCCCCTCATGTTTTGCATTGTATTGGTATTGTTCTCTGTCACATGTTCTGTCCCCCTCTGTAATGTACAGCGCTGAGCGAACTATTGGCGCTTTATAAATACTGTATAATAATAGAATAATAAGTAAGTGAAACCGAGTTCAACAGTGCATATGCACAGCTGGATAAGTTCCATGGCTGTAAATCCCTAATTAGCCTGGTTCCAGAAGGTCTGCTTGAGAAACCACTTTCCACTGCCCGGGGTTTATAAAACCATAACTCAGTCGGTCATGACCTGTTAGGCCAGCGGTTCTCAACCTCTGGGGGTCGCGACCCCTTTGGGGGTCGAACGAACACTTTCCCAGGGGTCGCCTAAGACCATCGGAAAAACACATATTTCCGATGGCCTTAGGAACCGAGACACCCGACTCCTTGATCCGTCTGCAGGTGTGGGCGGGATGACATGCCGTCCCTGTCATCTGGACACACCCCCGGGATCAATCCTTCCTCGTCGGTGATTGGCCGCCGGAACTGTAGCTCAAGAGAGGCACACAGGCGGCCAATCACCGGCGAGGAGGTGGAGCTTGGAAAGGAGGAGCCGAGCGGGGGCAACCGCGAAGCACGAAGCGAGTGAAGAGGAGGAAAGCGGCCGGAGAAGGAAGCCATCTGACCGTAAGTGTTTGTACCATGGGAGAGGGAGGGAGCGAGGCGAGCGAGGCGAGCGAGCCCAGGCTGGAGCAGGGGTCAGCAAGGTAAGTATCATTGGTGTCAGTGGGAGGAATAGTGCCCAATCATTGGTGTCACTATTACCAATGATGGGGCACTATTCCTCCCCCCACTGACACCAACGATGGGGCACTATTCCTCCCACTGACACCAACGATGGGGCACTATTCCTCCCACTGACACCAACGATGGGGCACTATTCCCTCCATACTGACACCAACGATGGGGCACTATTCCTCCCACTGACACCAACGATGGGGCACTATTCCTCCCACTGACACCAACGATGGGGCACTATACTTCCCTCTGATACCAACGATGGGGCACTATTCCTCCCACTGACACCAATGTTGGGGCACTATTCCTCCCACTGACACCAATGTTGGGGCACTATTGCTCCCCTCTGATGCCAACGATGGGGCACTATTCCTCCCACTGACACCAATGATGGGGCACTATTCCTCCCACTGACACCAATGATGGGGGCACTATTCCTCCCACTGATACCAATGATGGGGCACTATTCCCTCCCACTGACACCAATGATGGGCACTATTCCTCCCACTGACACCAATAATGGGGCCGTATTCCCCCCACTGACACCAATGATGGGGGGACTATTCCCCCCACTGACACCTATGATGGGGCACTATTCCTACCACTGGCACCAATGATGGGGCACTATTCCTACCACTGGCACCAATGATGGGGGCACAATTCCTCCCACTGATACCAATGATGGGGCACTATTCCTCCCACTGACACCAATGATGGAGCACTATTCCTCCCACTGACACCAATAATGGGGCCGTATTCCCCCACTGACACCAATGATGGGGGACTATTCCCCCCACTGGCACCTATGATGGGGCACTATTCCTACCATCTGGCACCAATGATGGGCACTATTCCTACCACTGGCACCAATGATGGGGCACTATTCCTCTCACTGACACCAATGATGGGGGCACTATTCCTACCACAGACACCAATGATGGGGACTATTCCTCCCATTGACATCAGTGATGGGACAACAATTCCTCCCACTGACACCAATGATGGGGCACTATTCCTCCCACTGACACCAATGATGGGGCACTATTCCTCCCACTGATACCAATGATGGGGCACTATTCCTCCCACTGATACCAATGATGGGGCACTATTCCTCCCACTGACACCAATAATGGGGGCACTATTCCTCCCCACTGACACCAATGATGGGGCACTATTCCTCCCACTGATACCAATGATGGGGCACTATTCCCCCCACTGATACCAATGATGGGGCACTATTCCTCCCACTGATACCAATGATGGGGCACTATTCCTCCCACTGCAAAATTACAGTTATGAAGTAGCAACGAAAATAATTTTATGGTTGGGGGTCACCACAACATGAGGAACTGTATTAAGGGGTCGCGGGCATTAGAAAGGTTGAGAACCACTGTGTTAGGCCATTAGAGCAGAGTGTGCCATAAAACGTTACATTCCACATGAGTAATTTTCATACAAATTCATAAACTTCAGCAGGAACTGGGCACATTGATATGAAGTATATATTCAGATAGGTCATTTTAATAGGAGACCCATGATACCTTACATCCCTATGTAGCGCCTACAAGAGGGTAGAAAGCAATTTCTTTATCCGTGATGTGCACTGGATGCCTGCTAAAGTTTGTATCGTGCAAGCGGAAATTAATATTCTAAATATTAATCTGCCAGTTGCTACCATGCTACTTGTATCTATTGAAGGTTGGAATTCCTGACCGTCATGATGCCAGATGAAGCTGTAAAGGGGGATTTGGTTGATAACCTTCGTCACCCTGCCAAACATTTCCTTCCTATCCCCAAATGAGGCATTGGCCCCCTATTTGTTTCTCAGGAGACAACCCCTTTGAG